TCTCTCTCTCTCTCCCTCTCTCTCTCTCTCTCTCTCTCTCGCTGTGTGTTCGCTCACGCTTTTGTTTTCCCCGAATAAAACACAATCTCATCAGAGTTGTATCAGTTATGATGAGGCATGTGCTTTATTCGAGGGAAGGCTGTTGGGGATGCTGTTTTCTCTAACGCAGCCCCTCTCCATCGTTCTCTCACCCATACACACACTCACCTACTGTCACACACATGTACACTCCAAACTTGATCTCGCATGAGACTGGCATGGTGTGCGTCAAGTGAGAAAAGAAACAAAAGAATTATTAAAAAAAAATAATTAAAAAAAATAAGATTATCAATTTCAGGCTTGTCACTCTTCCCTACCATCTCTTTTTTCTTCCTCTTCGCAGTCGCTCCTTCAGCGCATCCTTTTCCCATATATCTCCCTCTCTCTCCAACACTCACCGCTTCTCTCACAGCGGACTCTCTCTCACACACCCTCACAGCGGTCCCTCTCTCACACACTCTCACACACTCTCACAACGGACTTTCTCTCCTATCTGAAGCGGCACACCCTCTCTCTCTCTCACTTTGTTTCTCTCTCACTCTCTCCCTATACGTTGAACTCAAGTCCGAACGCACACTGCTGCCAATTTGGGCCACTCGCATTGGTATGCCCTTTCACAAGATACTAGTGATCGAACTTTGGACTTTACCAGGAAACTGTCCTTACTTCTCTTCCACGACCAAGCAACGTCCTACATATGAACAAATAACCTTGGTGTGCAATCGTGGTTCAATGAATCTGGCCACTAGCTTTGAATAGGTACTTTGAGCAGTTATTATTATTATTATTATTATTATTATTATATTTCCCTGGTTCGTGCATAGCCTCAAGGGGCAGTAGATTCAAACACGGGTGTAATATTTTCCTATCTCTTCAATAGGGGTAATGGCTGAACTCATCGCTAGCGGTAATGGCAGATCTCGCCACCAGTGATAATGGCTGAATCTGATCTCGTGGCCAACAACTCTTCTCATCAGCGTGGTGGCAGATCTCGCCAACCGCAGATCATGGTTACCTTCTCCTTCAATGAGTTGACATACCTCACTAACAGCAGATAGGGATAAAAGGTCTCTTCGACGATAGATCGTGGATTCTCTCTTCATCAACATGATGTCAGATCCCGTCAGTAGTGGATTGTGGTTGTTTCCTCTATGAAATCGTTGGCAGATCTTTCTATTACCGAACACGTTCACTCTTTTCATCAGAAGGATACCTGCGCACTTCTCTAACAGATAGGGCTGCCTTCTTCTTCAGCGGGCATGGATGAACCGGTCACCAGCAACACTCGCTGGTGTCTCTTCACCAGCGGTATTGTGTGAGCAGCAACAGTGGCTGGTTCCTCTTCAACAACGGGTATAGGTGAACCGATCATCTGCAGCGCTCGCTTGTGTCTCTTCACCAGCGGTAATCAATTAATTAACAGATGTGGAAAGATACTTGCTCGCTCACTCTTTTCCACCCTTTTTCGCTCCTGCGCATGAGGCGCATGCCGTGTCGCCCCCCCCCGGTCGCCGACTGTGACCCGACTCCTCATGAAGTGGCATATTGCCATGAACGCGTGCGATCAACGAGAGTAGACAACTCCCCCCTTAGCTGCAGTAGCCTCGCCCGCCGTAGCTGGAGTCCGCTTGCTCACGGGAACGAGCACAACCCAACTCGCAGCGATCTCCTCTGTTCGCCGTCGTTTGCTGTCCGTGCGCTGTGGTCGCTCCCCCACTGCACACCGTTCCCCTTGGTCGCCCCGCTGTCCAATGTCCCCGAATGTCCCCTCCTTCGTTCACTGGCCTCTCCTATATGCGGACTGTAACCCTCACCGTTGGCCTCAATGGACCGAGAGTACCTGCACCCAGGTACATCGGTCCGGGATTCCGATGGTACCAGAATAGTGGAACCCAGGCAAGTTCAGCGGCACCAACAGGGGACGTAGCAGCAATTCCAGCAAGAAAAAAAAACAGGGACTGAACCAAGGCTGCCGCAGTCCCAGATGAGGCTCAAACCGTACCAAACTTGCACAATTTTCGTGGCTGTACCAACACCAAAACAACATCCGAGCCTGCCGTCCAGTCAAATCATACCAGGGTAAGTTCATCCCGGTCTCGATACCATTCCATAATATTAGCCAGACCGTCGTGAACCTCACCAATGCCGGATCAGTGACCGCAGCAGAGCCAAGAATGGTGTATCTGTATGTCAATCCTGCGTCACCACACGAGTGCCGAACCAACTTGATGTCGAATACCGTACCACGCAGGTGCGCCGTGATAGTACCGAGCCTGCCCCGAACCAGAATGCCGTCCCCAATTTGATCCAGTGTCCACAGCAAAATACTCAAGTCGGGCGGCACCGCCCCTAAGTAGGACCAACAACAACACCACGGCGACCATACGGTCCCACTCACTCAAAACACCCAGGTTGAGGCGAGGATAACAATCAGACAATTCAAGTAAATCAAGCGAGGGTTCATAATTATCGGGGAATCGGAAGAATCGTCAGACTCGGGGTAAGTGAATAATTCCGAGCAAAAATTCACCGCGAGTAATTTTAATAAAATTTAATTAAATAAGAAATAGTCAGTGATTTTCTTTTCTTTTACTTTCTTTTATTATTTTTTTAATTTTTAATTCCATTATCAGAAATGATAAAAATAATGAGTAATTCCCTCAAGATTGAATTCCGGTAAAATTTAAGTAAATAACAAATATTCCATTATTCTCGTCCCTCTTATTATTTTTAACTCTTTATCCAATTCTTAATTTTGATATTAAAATTAATAAAATTTGAGGTGCCATTTCGGCGCCAATCGTATGAAGCAAAGGTGTCGCGCCAAGGCCTATTTCCGGCCCACGGCTAGTCACTTCGGGATTAGCCTTGGAACGGACGAAAACAATAGGCACTAGGCGCAACAAACGTGCCCCATCCCCCTCGTTGATTTCAAGGGTCAGTGTCAGTACTTGACGCGGAGAAAATTAGGGGTCTCTTTCCGACCCCTAATTTTTCCCGTTGGCCCGGATGAAAGCCCCGGTCAATCCCTCTCTAGGCACTTAATCCAAGAAAATTCGGGTGGCCGACTGGCCTTTGGCCGCCCGACACCGGTACTGGTTCTCCAAAACCTGGGCCAGTAACAGCTGTTGTGCTTCAATATCCTCTCAAGGGAAATTGATTTTTGCCCACTGGTTACTTGGAGAACGATGATGTCATAGGAGGCGCTGCAATGAAATTTAGGCCGCTTCTAGGCCACAACTCACTCTTGTAGGAAATGCACTATTACAATGTTGGTAGTCTGATGTTTCGCTGTTCATAAGTTGGTTCCCCCCCCTTGGGTTTGTTGCAGGGGTGGTGGGAACAGTGTATTGTGGAAGTTGGGAGAAATCCGTAGATTTAAGTATTTTATAAAAGTCTGGGTTGCTCTCCTGTTTGGCTTTTAATATTACCATAGTTAGTCTTGGATCACTGCTTAGGTAAGGTTTACAGTTCAGGTAAGGCTTAACTGATTCAAAGTTGATAGGTTGGAAAGTCAGTTCATTGGGCTTTCCGCAGGAGCGAGCCTGTAAGCTAAGCTGGCTGATGCTGTCAGTAATTCCGGGTTGAATTGTGAGGTCCCCGGCCTCGTGTTGGTACTTCGGAATGAATGACAACAACAACAACAAAAAAAGGCCGTCAGTTGGTCTATCACTCTCCCATCGAACATCCGGAATTACTTTGGAATGAAAAACGAAAACAAAAACCAAAAACAACAACAACAAAAAAAAACAGACCAAAAGCAGTCAGTTGGTCTATCGCTCTCCCATTGAACACCCGACGAAGCCGACGAAGTCGGTCGATCAATCAGTACTATCAACACTACCTCCGCGCTGCCTCTACCGTTTCCTACTCTTCCTCCACCTCTCTCTGCCACGATTACTACTGCTGCTCCTCCTTTTGTTCCTGTTTTTCAGTGAAGACAGCGCAGTTGGAAGTTGCCTCGTCGCCCCGCCCAACTCATGAGCTCTGTTGCTTAGCAGTCGATTGGTCTCTTCCTCCTCCTCCTCTTCCTCTACCTCCTCCTCCTCCTCCTCCTCCGGCTCCTCCTGCTCCTCCTCCTCCTCCTATTGCTCCTGTTGCTCCTGTTTTTCAGTCATGCCAGCGGGCAATTGGGAGTTGCCTCGTCGTCCCGCGCATCTCGTCATCTCTGTTGCTTAGCAGTCAATTGGTCTATTGCTCTCCATTCGAACACCGACGAAGCCGACGAAGTCGGTCGATCAATCAGTACTATCAGCGCTACGTTCTCCCCCCCTCCACGCTGCCTCTACCTCCTCCTCTTCCTCTACCTCCTCCTCCTCCTGCTCCTCCTCCTCCTCCTCCTGCTCCTCCTCCTCCTCCTCCTGCTCCTCCTCCTCCTCCTGCTCCTCCTCCTCCTATTGCTCCTGTTTTTAGTCATGCCAGCGGGCAGTTGGGAGTTGCCTCGTCGTCCCGCCCATCTCATCATCTCTGTTGCTTGCCGTTTACTACCGTTGATGAATACTCGATCTAGGGCGCCGAGTGCGCCACGGTAGCAGCTCTCCCTAAGACGGGTGGTCGTTGATGAGATTTGAAAGGGTCGCTACCCGGTAGAATGCACTTGCTTTCTCTCTCTCACGACTGACAGGCGCTGCGCGGCATTTGGCTTTTCACCATCCGGATCTGCTGCTCGGTCTGCCTGGCCTGGGTTTCGCCGGTGGTCCCGTTGTTGCTGGCTCCGTCGTTGCCAGTCCAGTTGTTGGTCATATTGCCGGTGCCGGTGTTGGTCAGCCGTTTGTCCTACCAGCAGTAGGCCAACAATTTTTGCTGCCGTCTGTCGGCGGCTCTGCTTTCGTCATCGTTCCTTGTTCAGACCCTTCCTTGGCCACTTCTCAGTGGTTCCCAGAGCGTCTATTGAGTTGAGAGAATGGAAATGTCGGCGGTGTGAACCTGGACGCGACGCGATGCCATGCCAGCTGCACATAAACGGGAAACGAACCGTCGAGGTCACCACACCAGCACAGCGTCTGTTAACGAGTTTTCATCACTGCTTATCAGCTCGTGAATCGGCTTTACGCCGCTTGGTAGACACACAGGTTCCTCCCTCTTGTCCCCTCTTGTTGTCCCTCCGGCCTCCTTCCCTTTGAAATATCGTCGACGCTTCTCTTGTCATCCACATCGTCTTTATCGTCTTTAATATCAATCTGAAATTTGTCTCTCTCTGTCTCTCTCATATCTGTCTCATTTCTCTCTGAGCACTGTGTATTTCTTGCTCTCTATGCACTCTGTAAACTCTCTTCTTTTCCGGCCTTCCCCCCTCTCCCTGTCTTGTCCCCGCTCCGCTCCCACCCTTCCTGTCTTAGCCGGCTTTTCTCTGTGTTCCCGATGACATTGATGTCTATCGACGAAAACTGATTCTTGAATCAACGCGACCTGAACTCTTCGGTCTCTCTCTGGTGCTGTGAGGCTGGTCAGCCGCGAACAGTACGGTTTGCCAACGACTTCACTTGTACCCTCGCTCTCCTCGTTTCCTGGTGAGTCTGTCTCCCCTCCGTTCTTTTCCGTCGGCTACTCTGCCCTCCACCTCCGAAGGTGTTTTAAATTGACCCCTTGGAGGGATTGTGCTTGGCCTTCTCGACCTCCTACTTCTCCTCTCCTCTCTTCCTCCAATCGTCCTATCGTCTACCTCCTCTTCTCAACATCTTCATCTCCCTCCCCATTTCCTTGATCTTGCTCCTATCACTCGGCCGTCTTCGTCCTCGTCTTCGGCATCATTTTTCCTTTCTTCTTGTCCATCTTCCTGTCATTCTACCGTCTTCCTCATCTTTCTCCCACTTTCCCTCCTCTCGTCTCTTTTCTCTACGCCTCGATCCCTTAGGGCATTCTGATTGCCCACTCGCTTTCGAGGAGCCGCCTCTTGTTCACGTCGTCCTTATTTTCGCCGGCATCTCATTTCGCCTTTTGGCCTCCTTTATCCTCCCTCTCTTTGCGTATCTTCTTTCCCGCCACCTTCGATTCTTCCCCGGAGTCGTTCCGAGAGAGAGAGAGAGAGAGTCGCTTCTGTCATCCTTTTCCGCACGATTTTTTAATAGGGAGGAGGATCGGCGGCCACAGAGCGCGGCGTTTTCTTTTCCCGGTGTTTTTGCGAGAATTTCGAGTCAATCTTTCAACACGGAGAAGGAGGAAGATCCTGACTCCTCGCCAAGCATGACTCACAAGGAAAACGTGTACTTAAACATTTACGATCTGACACCAGCCAACAACTATTTTTATTGGTTGGGCCTAGGGGTTTACCATTCAGGTGTGGAGGCGTACGGGGTGGAATACGCGTACGGAGCACATGACCTCCCCACGAGCGGGGTTTTCGAGGTGGAACCGAAGAACACACCCGGGTTCATTTACCGGACCAGCATCTTGATTGGAACGACGGAGCTAAGTACACGTCAGCTGCGAAACTTCATCGATAATTGCGTCGACGAGTACACCGGTGAGAGCTATCATCTGATTATCAAGAACTGTAATCACTTCACAGATGACATCTGTACGAGATTGACTGGTAAGGGCATACCTGGATGGGTCAATCGATTGGCTAGGTTGGCGTGGTTGTTTAATTGCTTGTTGCCGGAGGCATTGCAAGTGACTCATCACCCCGGATCGACTAATTATCATTCCTTCCGCGGGAAGGAGGGGGAAAGGTTAACGGGAGGTAGTGGCGGGGGAATGAAAGATGAGGAGGAAGAGGAGGACACGGGTCTGCAGTCGGATCAGGAAGAGAGACTAATTAGTCCAGTCAGCGCGGAGGTGCAAAACCAACAGCGGAATCGATTGCTTAGGGATATGGGAGGAGTGAGAGCGAAAGAAGAAGCTTACTAAGAGTAGAAGGTAGTGTGA